TTAAATCTTTAATTATATCAACTCTCTTATTAATATTTTTTTATAATTAGAGAAATATTTTTTAATAATAAGTTCAGACAAGAGATTTTTCTCATCAATTTCTTCAAAATTTTTAATATTTTAAACATTTTTTAATCCTCTAAATTATCATCTTGAAACAAGTTATTTAAATCCATAAAATTATCTTAAATATTAAGTATCTATTATTATTACTATAATTATTATAATTATTTTTATTATTATTATTATTATTATTATTATTATTATTATTATTATTATTATTCTTATGGTTATATTTGTTTTTGTTATTATTTTTATTATTGTTTTTATTAATGTAATTGTTTTTATTATAATTATAATTATTACTATTTCTATTATTTTTCATTTTCTTTTTTTTAATTATTTTAAATTATATATTATTATCTTTTATTGTATTCATTTTCACAAAGCTTCTAATTATTTTAATAAAAATTAATTTATTATTAAAAATTTTCATCACAGAAATTATTTTTTAAATCATTTATTTTATCTTCTTCTATATTTAATTATCTTAATATTGTTTCAATTAAAGGATACATTAAATCAATATAAGTTTATGTATTTTAAGAATTTTGTAAATTATTTATTTATTAAGAATTATTAATATATATATTATTTATATTATTATTATTATTATTATTATTATTATTATTATTATTATTATTATTATAATTATCATTATCATTTTCATTAACGTTATCATTTTTATTATAATTATCATTATCATTATTTTTTATATATTAATCTTAAATCTCTTAATACTAATTTTTTTTTTTCTTATCTTTTTAATTCTTTTTAAACTATCTATTTTTTATTAAAATATGTTTTTATAATAAATGTTTATAAATTTTATTAATTTTTTACATATATCTTAATATATTAAATATATATATATATATATATATATATATATATATATATATATATATATATAATACATTTTTAGAAATTTCATTTTTGATTTTAAATTAATTTTAAATATTTATAGTTGAAACATTATTTTTTTTAAAACTTCTTTGATAGTCTCTATTTCTTAGACTGTAAAATGATCGTATGTAAAATCTTTTGAAACATTTTTTCTTAACATAAAACATTATAATTATTTAAATTTGATTCTGTAAATAGAATATTATTAATAATTTTATTTTATAAAATATTTTATTGACCAGTTTATTAATTGTTACTTATTATATTTTATATTTATTATAGATTTATAAGATTAATATCTATTTAATCATTATTATCCACATTTTAATCAATATTATTTTATTTATTTTCATCTATCGGAATAATTTTATTTTCAATTTAATTATTACAATTATTATAATTTATTTCTTTATCAATATTATCTGATTCATTATATAATTATACTTACTAATAATTTTTATACATATTTTAAAAATAAATATAAATATATGTATATTTATTTATAATGTTTTTGTAAATTTTGCATAAATAATTATTTTATTATATATAATTATTTTATTATTTACTTTTTAAATTGTTTTATTTTCTAAATCATTATTATTAGGTTATATATTTTTTTAATATCTTTATTCTATATCTATTTTACAGTTTTCTTTAAATAATCATCTTCTTAAAATGTTATTAAATGTTTATAATTTCCTTATTCTAGTATTTTTTTTTACTTTATTATTTTTAAATATTATATAAAGCTTTATTATTAAAACTAATTTAAGTTCTCTTTTTTTTATCTGAAGAATTACTTTATATGCTTTTTGAAGATTAAACTTTCTCAAAAAATTTATTAGGCATAACTTTTTAATATAAACTATCTGATTATTTGCCTTAATTTTCGCATTTAACAACAAAATTTTTATTATTTTGATTTATAATTTTACATGGCACATCGATTTCTATTTCTAAATCTTCTTCAGTTTCTATTTAATTTTATACCTTTATTAAATAAAAATATATAATTATATGTATATATATACTTCAATCTCATTATCTTCTCCTTTAGAATTTTAAACAATTTATTTATTTTTAATAATTTTTTTAACTATTTATTTAATATTTTTTTTTTCTTTCATATAAAGGTTCATCTCTTCATTATTAAAAATATTCATTGTATCTTATATTTAATGTTTACTTTATACAGAAATATTATCACCCATATTAAATTATTATTTAGTTGACAAACTCTTCAAAGACTCATTTTCTAATGAAGATGTAATTTTTCTTTAATTATTAAATTAGTTTATGAATTATTTTAAGTATTCTTATTTATCAGAACTCTCTTTTTAATTTATTTTTTAAAGTTTATTTTAAATATTTTTTTATGTTTCTGAATTTAAACCGCATTCTTATAAAATTTATTTTATATAAATAATATTTTATTGTTCTTTTGTTTCAAGATTTTTTATTAGTATTATTTTTTTTTATATTTCTTCCTTTAATTTAAAGTTATGCTTATCTAATTCTTATATTATCTATTCTTATTTTTTTAAACGATTATCTTATTTATTTTATGATTATTAAATAATTTTATTATTTAATTCTTAATTTTATAAATTAAGTACTTAAATTTATTATAAAAGTTATTTTTAATAACTTTAGTTTCTTTTGTTTTCATCTTTTATTATATTCATTTCTATAGATTATTTTCCTATTTCGATTTCTTTACTTTCTAAATTAAATTTAAAATATTAAATCTCTTTATTTAAAATTTATATATTATTTAATAAATCTTAAGTTTTTATTTCTAAATTTTATATTTTCTCCTTTTAAATAAAATACTCTTAAGTCATTCTAAAGTTAAGTATATTTGGATTACTAGTAATATTATTTTCTTATAACTTTTTTAAAATAAAAAAATAAATATAATTATATATAAAATAAAATATATAATTATATATATATATATTTTTTAAAATCTTTTAAATATCTATGTAATTTTGAATTGCTTTTTTGTTATTTATTCAGTAACATATTGTTTAAAAATTCAATTATAAAAATGAATAATTTATTCTTAATTAGTTTTTATGAATTTTGATTTGAAAAAAGATAATAAAAAATTAATATGTAAAACAATGAAATAATAAAATGTTTTATAAATAAAAAATATATTACATATTTATTTCTATATAAACTTCTTTCCTTAAATATTCTATTTATATATTCAATAATTTTAATGGCAGTTTCTTTTTATACATCTATAAATTCCTATTTTATATATTATTCAATATTTTAAAGATTTGATTCAATAAATTCATGTTCATAAGTATATAAATTATTTGCTAAGTTATATTTAAAAATAAAATATAAAAAATATAATTATATATATATATATATATATATATATATATATATATATATATATATATATATATATATATATAAATTAATATTATTTTTTATATATATTTATAAATAACTTGCTATTATTTATTAAATATCTATTTTATGATTTTTCAAATTTTTCCTTATATTTTATATTTTCTACTTAGTTTCTGAATAACTATTTTTAATTTTACTTTATTAGTATTCTTTTAAATATTTATTTATTTCTATAATATTATCTTCTTTATCTCTATAAATTTATTCTATTTGACATTCTTTTTCAAATTTATCAAATCTATTTCTAGCTTCTCTATAATCTTCTTATGTATCTGTAGCTTTATTTATATATATTTTTAGCTTTTTTTTAAATAAAATATACTTATTTTTTTATTATATAAAAAATACAGTTTTATCCTCTTTTTTTATGATTTTTTTATTAATTAAATTATTTATTTTTATTTAATGTTATTTTAGTCTATAGTCTTTTAATGAAATCTAATTTTTTTGCACTAAACTATATTTTCTATTTTATATATAAGATGTGTTGTTTTAAATATGTTTTGTATTAAAAACTTTAGCATTTTCGAAATTTAAAATAACTCCATCTAAATTTGAATAATTTATTATATTATCATTAATTATTTAATTTTAATTATTTATAATCTTTAAATCATTTAAGGATTATAAACTATTACTTTTTGCTCTCTAAATTTTTTAATTTGGATCTAATTTCCTCTTTTATTTATTATTAATAATTGGATATTATAAAAACATTTATTATTAATATATTATTAAATATGTATTTATTTATTTTTATTATTATTTGATATTTTTAATATTATTTTTTATAATTATTTATTTTTTATATTATTGTTAAACTTTTTATATTTTTTTAATTTAATAAATATTTAAAAATTTTATTATCAAAAAATGTTTTTATAAATGAATTTTCTAAAAAAAATCAAACTTTTAAATATTTTAATAATTTTTTTTTTAATTTTATTTTCTAAATTATTTTATAATTTATATTATAAATATATATTATAAAAATTATTTAATTATTAAAATAAATTATTAATATTAAAAGATATAATTATATTTTATTATAAATTCATGGAGATTATTATTTAAGATTTTATAGATTATAATTAAAAGAATATGGAAGTTTAGCAGACGAATTATCCATATCCTCAGTATAATATTTAACACTAGATATTTATTTTTATTTGGACAATTATTACTACTAATATTATTTTTTCTTTTCCTCAATATTATAATTTAAATTAAATTATATATTTGAATGAGTAAGATTATCATTATTATTACTATAAACCAAATTTTAAATTACATTTTAAGTCCCAACCATAAAATCAACAAATTATTTACAATTAGTAAATTCATCTCTAACAAAAGCACATTATTTATCAAATTATTCTGACAAATTAGTTTCATCCTCTACATATTTTAATTCCCTATAAATATAATTTATATATAAATAGGTAAAAATAAAACAATATTAATATTAATTTATATATTAAAATATTTATAATTATACATAAATATTTTTAATTATTTATATATATATATATATATATATATCTATATAAAATATTCTTATATATATATTTATCTTTTACCTACATATTTTTTTAAATAAGTCAGTACTTTTTCTTAATTGTCTTGTTTAAAAAATACTAATATTTTCTCCTTTTCTAATTTTAATTCTAAACAAACCTGTTAAAAAAACAAGCTTTCCTGCGATTTCTTTCACATTTTATTTTATATGTAATTTCTTTAATATATTTACAGATTTTTTTTCTAAATTACTCATAGTTAATATATTTGTTAGACTGTTAACTAATATTGAAAGCATAAAAGTTCCTGAAATAATAGCCAAAGTAACTATAAACCTCCCCAAATTAGTAACTGGATATTTATCTCCATACCCCACTGAAGGAATAGTAATCAAAACCATCCACATAGCTGTAGTAAAATAACTATAGTCTTGATAAGTTTATGCTTCTTTATTTCTAAGAATAGGTCTTTCGCATACCCTAGCCCCAAAACTGAATATAAATAGAGAAAAAATATAGCAAAATAAAAATATTTTTAAAGGTTATTTTTTCATTAAAACTCTTATTATAAACAAACTGTTCATTTCTATAGCATACATATTACTAAAAAAATATATTTATAAATAAATATAAATTTATATATATTTAATAATATATATATATTTTTAAATATAAATATATAAATTTTTATTTATACTTATTATTTTTTTTAAATATACAACACATATATAATATAAATATTTTATATAAATTTTTTTTATTTATATTTTAATTTATTTATAAATTAATATTTATTTTATGTTTTATCCTTTATAAAATTACCATATTCTATTAACTTTTCACTACTCCATCGTGTAGTTTAAAGAATTATTTTACCATAATAATTACTCTTAATAACATAATAAATGTTAAAATTTCATTTAGTTAGTAATAAGTAGAAACTTAATAAAATTCAATATAAAAATCTATTTTTATACTCTTAGTCAATGGAAGTGGGATTATTGTATAAATAAACATTTCTAAAATCATAGTCTTCCATTCTCCAGTATTAAATATAGTAGTTTATGGTCCTTAAGATTTTGTGGATATAAGAAATTCATTTTTAGAAATATAAGTAAAATAAGTCATAATAACTTTTATATTATTTGAATTATATTAAATTATATATATCAATATATATATATATTTTATAATTATAATACTTAATAATACTGTACAAAATAAGGTTATAAATAAAAACCAATCTACAAATATATTTTTGTCTTCTTATTCAATAAATTCAAGTTCATACTATTATTATAGATTTTAAAATATAATTTTTACTATTTTATTTTAATATTTATTATATATAGATTTACATATATATTATTTAAATTTACATCTAAAACCGATACTCCTTAAGCCATTAACATGAGCATAAATCTACATAATTCTAAGCATCTATATTTTTCGAAATAAAATTTTGATTCTCTAGCATCTTCTATTCTATCAACATTTTCCTAATTTAAGTATGCTTTATTAATAACTCTATTTCAAAATTTTAATTTATAAATTGAGTATTATATTTTATTTTTTTTAAAAAAAGAACTTTTATCTTTATCTTTTTAAATATTTTTCGATTTTTTTTTATGTATGAGGGTCAGAATATAATTCTTCTTATATTTATTAATCTGCGAAATCATGTTTACTTTTATTTTCTTCTTCATCTTGTTTTTGATTGTCTTCTTATATTTATTATTCTTCTTCTTTATTTTATTAAATTTTATCTAATTGTTATTAATCTTATTTATTTTCTTATTCTTATATTTATATTTATTCAATATTTTATTTCTATTAATCATACTTTCCATCTTTTTTGTTTTATTTATTTAAAAATAAAAAATGAAAATATTCATTTTTTACCATTTTTTTTAATTTCTTCTTTATTCATTTTTTCTTTTATTTTTGAATTTTTTTTTTTTTTAAAAAAAAAAGTTAAGAAAATTAATTAATATATTTTTTTTTTTATATATATTTAAAAAAATAATTAAAATTTAATTATATTAATAGAACATACCTACCTTTCAAACTCACGCTTCAAAAAAGGCTGGTGCCTTAATATTTTAATAAATTTATTTTTAAATAATTAATTATAAATAAAAATAATTCTCGAATTAAAAATTATAAGCCTAAAAAACCACTCATTTAATAAAACGTCTAAAATTATTCATCAGAAACTTGCCCTTCTGGTATTTATTCTTCGGGAATTTGTCCTCCTTCTTATTTCCCAAGTGCTTATTCTAATTCTAAAAGAATTCTTTTACTTCAGAAATTTTAATAGATGTTTTATTACATTTAAATAGACTTTAATTTTTTTGTTTAAAAAAACAAATAAATTTATATTGTTTCTTAATACTTGATATATTTTTAGATATAAAATTTCCAAATAAGAATAAAATTAGTATTAATATTTTTTAGTTTATTTTATTTAATTATAAATAATTTTAATAATAAGAATTACGTTAATATTTATATATTGTATTATTAATAATTTAATTTAAATATAAATTAATTAAAAAAATCATTTAATAATAAATATAAAATTGTCTATTTAATACTAATTATATGTTTAATCTATATAATATTAAATATAATGCATATTTTAATTAATAAAATAATTAAATTTATCAATATATATAAAATTAATATAATATATTAAATATAAATTATAAATAAAATATTAATATGAAGTTAGAATAATTTATTATTAATGAAAATAAATATAAATTACTATTTCATTATATTGTTCATATTATTAGAATTTTAATTAATTATATAGTTTAAATTATATTTTTTCATTAATAAAAATATATCAATAAATTAATTAAGTATATAATAAATATTTTAAAGTAAAAATCTAATTAATAAATAAATATACAATAAAAAGATTTAATATATATTAAAAATGTTATATTATTTGACAATAAAACTAAATAAAATATAATTAATAACTTTTTTAGATTTATTTTAATGAATATTTTCATTTTATAAAAAATAAAAATACTAATAAGATATAATTAATATATAATTATATATATAAAGAAATTATAATAAAAAAATAAATTCTAAAAATATATAAGTCAATACAAAATATTTTATTTTTTTTACTAAAAAAAAAAAAAAAGATTTAGAAAAAAAAAAAATATATAAAAACTAAACTAAATTATATTATATATATATATAAAATAAACAAATATTTTTTTTTAAAAAAATAAACAAGAATATCATTAAAAATAATAAGAAATAAAATAAAAATGCAAAAAATTCGTTTTAAAGCTATCCCACTAATTTTTCTAAAAGAAATATTCAAGTAGTAATGCTCCAAGATTATCCATAAGTAGGCTTTGAAGGACAAATAGTATCAGTAAAGCCCGGATATGCCCACTAAACATTAATCCCAAAGTATATTGCTGCTTATAATTTTCCAGGATTACGTCAGCGTATATTTCCTAATTTATAAGAAGATTTAATTACAGTTAAAATTTAGAAATATAAAGACTTAACAAATTTTTAAACAAAAATCGAAAATATTGATTTTGAAATAGTTAGAACGAGTTCTTTTGCGAATGCAGAATTATTAAAAGATGTAGTTTCAAAATTGGAAATAATAAAAGAAGTTAGGGAAAGATATGAAATAGAATTAAATGAAGATAATTTATTGATTAGTGATTAATTAAATAAATATGGGTATTTTAATATTAATGTAAAGGATTATTTCAATAAAGAATTCGAAAAGAAATTCAGTTTTGTAATTGGAATTAAAATAAAAAACCCGCAATTAGAGAAACAATCAAAAAAGATGGTAAAAAAGCTGATAAAAAAGTAGAAGACTCTAAAAAAGAATTAAAAGAAATTAAACTTGAAATTTCAGATAAAAAGAAAAATATTAAAACTAAAAAAACTAATATTTTGAAAGGTAAGAAAATCAAAGAAGAAGAAAAAAAGAAAAAAGCAAAAAAATGATTTTATAAGAAAATTGTTATTTTTTATTTATTTTATTAACTTAAAAAAAATAAAATAAAATATTATTTTTCCTTTTAATTAAAATAAAAAATATGAAAAAAATAATATATAAATATAATTATATATATATATATATATAAATAATTAAATTTAATATAGTATAAAATAAATAAATATAAAAAAAAGAAAGAAAGAAATAAATAAAAAAAAAATATAAATCAAATAAATAGAAATGGTAATAATATAATTAAAAAAAATATAATTGAAAAAATAATATAAAACAGGTATTCAACAAATTCGTTTAAGTAGGTAGAGTAGTCTATATCAATTTCGGTTCTGATAAAGGCAAATTAGCCGTAATTGTAGATATTGTTAACTAAAATAGAGTTTTAGTTGATGGCGATAATGTTAAAAGATAAGTTATTCCCATTAAAAGAGTTAACTTAACTAAATTCCACATTACAGATGTTAAATTACATTAAAGAACAACAGTTTTAAGGTATTATTTTAAATTTATATATATTATTAAAAAGCAAAAATTATATAAAAATAGAAAAAAAATCTAAAAATTTGATTTGAACAAGAAGTATGCAGAAACTGCGTTCGCTAAAAGATAAGCAGTTAAAGCTAAAAGAGCTTCTTTAACTGATTTCGATAGATTCAAAGTTATGGTCTTAAAAAAAAGAGTAAATAATATTAACAATTTATAATATATATAAATATATATAAATAATATATATATATATATATATATATATATATATATGTTTTTTTATATTTTTAATTTTATAAAGCTTGCCAGAATCAACACTAAACCTAAATCAAGCAAACCTAAATAAGTCAAGAAATCTGCTAAATGATTTTTTTTTATAAATAATAAAAATATTTAATAAAAATTTTTGTTTTTATATTTTTTGCTTTATACAATTTTATTTAAATATTTTTCAAAATATATCTATTCTTAATATATCTTAATCTTAAATATGTATATTTTTTATTTTTTATTCTTTAATAAGTTCATGTTATATATAATTATATTTTGTCAAAGATATTATATTATTTAATAACAAATTTGTAATATTTTAATATTATTTACTTCTAATTAAATATATTTATTATTAGATTTTTCAAACTTATTTAAAAATAATTTTTTATGATTATTTAGGCATAACATTTTTTATAATAAAATTTATAATATATTATAATTTTTTTTTGCAAAATTAGAATGATTTTATATAATTATTATCAACTAAAAAATATTATTAAACATTTAAAATATACCTTAAAAAATCCTTTATTTAATAAAATATATAAAAATTAAAATATTTTAAAACAAAATTATTCATTTTAATAATAAAAATATTTATTTAATATTAAATTTCTTATTATAATATATATTTATTTCATTATTATTCATTATTTAATTCTTTAATTAAAAATACTGTTGATTTCATGATATACTTATCTATTATACTAATCTTCTCACCTTATCCTTCTATAATTTCATATAGCCTATCCATAATAACTTTTTAACTATCCTATTATTCATTTTGTAATAATCTAAAAATATAAATAAGATTTAAAATAGACGCACACTTAATTTTTTCATCAAATGATTTTGTATATTCAACTAAAGTTTCCGCATATAAATATATTTTATTTGTGAAATTTTTAGAAAGAAAAGAAATTAAATTGAGCATTAATTTTTCTTCTTTTTCCAAAAAATCTACATTAAATTCATTATCGGATAAATTTTCTTATAAAATATCATTTATAGGTTATAAAGAGAGCATATTTGATACTTTTTCAAGATTAATTTTACATATTTCCTAAATTTATTTACTTTCGTCCATTAAATGTACTATATTTGAAATTATTATATAATGTAATTAGTTTTCAATATATTCTTCTTTTTCTTCACATTAATTTAGTTTTTCTAATAATTTTCCATATAAATTAAATGAAGTTATTCTTAATATTGTTTCTTATCTTTTAGTTTTTAATAAAATATAAATACATTTATATAAATATTAATACTTTTCGAAATTAATTGTAACTTTTTATAATAAATTTATTAAATAAGGATTTAAAAAAGACGGATTTATAAATTAAATTAAATTTTGTAAACTATTTAATGCGTCTTTTACACAATTATCTGATAAATCATCCATTCCGTAAAAAAGAACTTCCAAAATTTAAGTATATTTATCTTTTTCAATACAAAATAAATGCTTTTAATTATTATCTTATTCTTGTTATAAAAACTAATCCCCATTTTCAATATCATCAAGAAGTTGTTTTTTTTAAAAAGGACAAATATTATTTTCTTATAAACACTATTTTTATTCATTTATTAAATTATTATTATCTTAATTAGAAATATTATTAAATTCCTATTCTAAATCAGTTTTATCATCTTTATATAAGGCAATATTATATTTGTGTAAATAAGTAATATTTCCTATTCCTTTAAATACAATAGATCTAATCTAATCGCTATTATCTTATGAATTTTAGAGTAAAGTATTAATTAAATACATATACCATTTTTCGATTAAATTAATGTTTATTTGATCATAAAAATCAAAAACAAAATGAGTGGATTAAATTAATTGGCTTATGACTATTAAACATACACTTTTTTATGATTTTAGACTTTTTTAAATAAAAGCTTTTAAAAAATCAAGAATTCCATTCTTTTTTTTTTTTTTTTGTTAATAATAATAATAAAAAAAATATTAATAAGTTATTTATTACTATTTCTTAAAGTTTACTATTTTTACATAAAATCATTAATAATTCGGAAATTCCGTCTTCAAAAGAATCTTCGTAAATAAGCTTTTATTATAATCCAGTAGAAAAATCATCTAATAATTGCATTTTATAAGAATTTTTTAAAAATTATTAAAAAGACCAAAAACATATTTTAGAAGAATTAACTTCTTTCCTATAAATATACATATTCATGTATTTATATATCTATATATTTATATATTTACAATTAATCTTTATTAAATTCATAATCTAAAGATGTTGAAAATTTTAAAAGAAACGTTCCAAAAATTGCACAGAAATATTTTTTAGAAACCATTTGAATTATATCATTATTAACTTCAAATAAAAATCCAATAAAAAGTATAGCATGACTAATCGCATTTCCTTTATTTTTAAATAATTTATCTTCTGGATTATTAACCACGTCCGTTAAATGATTAAAAGTTTTAAAAAGCAGACCTTTATTGCCCACAATCCTTTTCAAAACCTTTCCTGAAAACGCATTTATCGGGAAAACGACTTATTCTTCCAATAAAATATTTAAGCCTTTATTTAGATTTTTCTCTAATAAACATATTACATATTCAATTAAGCTTTCCTTTTAGCTTTCTTCACAATTAAGCCTTTCTTAAACTTCGAACACCTAATAATAGCTTTATAGCACTTTTTCTAATTAATCACTAAGTTCATTTTCTTTCAAAGTATAAAATTTATTATGCAAAGAAGTAAATCCGTTCAAAACTTAAAGATTTTCCTCTATAATAACTCTTTATATACTTTCATTGACTATACTTTAAAGTTCCTAAAATGACATTTTTTTCGATAATTAAGAAACTAAGCTTTCATTTAATAAGTCTATATTCCTATTATTCACATCTAAGTATATATTCCATGAAATAATTATTTTTTCTAAACAAAGCAAAGAGATCTTTTACAAATCACAGTTATTTTTATATATATGAGACAGAAAAATGACCAAAATAATCGTAAAATGTTAAATATCTTCGTTTTCATCGAGTTTTAATTATTTTTCATATAAAGCTTTTAATAAGCTTGTATAATATATTAATAGTGTATTTTAGTCTTTTGTTTTTTCTATTTTTTTAATTATTTCAGAAAATAATTACCAAACCGAAATATATTAATTGACTTTAGTTTCTTCTTCTTATTTAAGTTTTTTATGGTAAAGAATCGATTAGAATAAATAAACAAATTAATTTTCATAAAAAGAGATATTTTCTATTTATTTTTCTACAGTTTATATACATAGATTAAAAAAATATATATTTTATTCATATGAATATGCAGGCTCTAATTTAAATAAAGTACAAATGCATTCCCATGAAACAGACTTTATTTATTAAATTTTACTATTCTTGAAATTTTAAAGGGATGTCTTATAAAATACATCCTTATATTTACAGAAAATCTTTTAAATTTCAATCACATCAGGTTATTCGCAATTATTTTATATAAAAAGTACTCCTTTACTTATCATTTCCATACATTTTTATATATTTAATTGAATCTCATCTCCTTATTTTTCTAAAAAAGCGGCAAATATATTAATAATATTTCCTTCTAATTTCTTAAATAATTTTCTATAAATAAATAAATATATAAATATATAAATATATATATATATAAATATATAAATTTATAAATATATTTATATTTTTACCTACTATCTACCCTTATACATATATAACCTAAAGCTAAAATCATATTAGATAATATAGGTATTAAAAAAGTATCATCGTTTCCATTTTTAGAAAAAATTCCTAGAATTCCAATACCAAATCCCTACTATTATTTTTTTTAAATAACCTAAGAATTTAAAATATTTCTTATTTTATCTGTAACTAGATCTATTTTTTCAGTGGCTATTAATGCAAATGTATCTGCTAGAGCAGTTTTCATTTATATTGGAGGTTCTATTTTATCTATATTAAGATTAATAGCATGATTAGAGTAATCATTATATACTTAATTGACAAATTTATCCATTTAATTCTTAATAACCTCCTAGCTTTCTATTTTCGTTAAAATTAATGCATGCATTTTCATCATATGGACTTATAAATCTTAAATTTTATTATAATTACCATATACAGCGATTATATCTTCATGCAAATTCATAAAATGTTCATTACTATCAAATTAATCAAGTAAAACCTTCCATAATTAATAAATTTTTTCACAATATTTTTTTTCGTCGTTATTATTTTCTTACATTATTGTAAATTCAATTTCATTACATATACTAATTATTTCTTTCTTTTAATCTTTTCTTTTAGTATAAAAACTTAAAAGAAAAGGTAAAGCCTTTATTATTTCTACTCCTAATCCTTTAAAATACTATGGGATTCTTAAAAGGATAACTAGTCTTACTAATATACTCGAAATTTTGGGAATTTTTTAATCCGAATTATTAATAGTTGGAAATTTTGAAAAATTTTCCTTATATTTAAAAAAAAAACACTATATACACTTCAAAACACAACTCAAGCCAGGGGAAAATGATGGGTTTGGAATAAACTCTAAAATTTAAGGCCAGATTAAACTTTAGGTTTGCAAAACGAAGCTATTTGTGATGATTTAGAGTAAATATTATGCACGATTTTTGAGATTTTCTAATGTTGTTTAAAAAGGGAGAGTTTTTATATGTTTTTTGTCCTCAATTTCTTAAGGGTGGATTGATGCCTATTGGACTAGGTAAAAAAGCATGAAAGAAATATCTATATTATCTTATTTTAAGTCTTAAATTTCTTCCAGAAAAGTTTTTTAATTAAATAAAGTAAAGATATTTTCGATTATAACATACCTTAATTCAACATTAGATTCGAAGGTAATTTTTTAAAAAGAACTGATAAGAGTTTTTTTAGTTTATAAAGATATGTTTTGGAAATTTCTTTAAAGGAGAAAATTAGTTATCCATAAAGAGCTTATTTTTTCAATCATATCTTTAGATTAATGCCGGCTTATATATAATTCTAAAATATTATCGACATTAAACTAAGCCAGGTTTTATAATAAAGCCAAAAGCTAATTTTTCCTTTTAATTGTTTCTGGATCGAACTCAAAATTCAGAGAGAAAATCGGATTTTTATATGCCTCATATAATTGAACTTATATCGACTTTATTTAATGTTCAAAATATGCTTTATTTGTTTTTAGTAATTTTTCCAATAGTTTATTAAAGCCTATATATATTTAACTATTTTTCTCATTTGCTTTTTTTAAATGGGTTATAAAATCTTATATTATCTTATCGCATACTTTATATATTTATTCTTTTGGGAAAAATTAAACCATATGTCCAATTAAATTAACAGTAATTTATTAACACTATTTATATATATATATATATATATATATATATATATATATATATATATATATATATATACTTCAAAATCTCCTTAGCTTATCCATTCAGTTGATATCATAGAATATATTGAAATAGTTATGTCTTCTATAGATTGGATATTTATTTCGTCTTGATTTTCTACACATATAGATAAATTATCATATATTTTTAGCATTAATTCGGAATATATAATCCGGTTTTTAGGATTTTATATAAGAGTACATGTTGATAAAAACTTACTTAATAATTCGTTAGAGTATTATTTTATATTTTATCCTATATATATATATATTAGTATTATTATTATTAAATTACCTTAAAAACTTACTAAAATATTCAAAAGTTTTAGTATTAATTAATCAGGAATTTTTCCTGGTGTAAAAAATTCTATTATAAGTCTAACTGTATCATAATCATTAAACTTTATTACATTTTAAATTATATTTTATATTATTTGCTTCCTTTCTTATTATAGATTTGGTTGTTGTTTATTTGTAGTTTTATTATTTTATTATTATATTGAATGAATTATTGATTTTTCTAAAAATTCATGTACTTTTTGTTTTACTATTCGAAAATTTGAATCTTACATATGCTATATTATGTAGTTTAAAAGACGGAAAAGCTCAATGTATTTTTAATCGATTTCAAATAAACTTAAATGCTTTATTAATATTAATATTACTGCTTTTATATTTGCATCCGCTAAATTTCGAAATAATTTTTTCAAATCATCATAGTCTTGTTTGTAATTTTATATGTAATGATTTAATATTTCTATTATTTAAGTTTTAAAATAAATATTGAATATATATATTACTTTCTAAAACTTCTTTTTAATTCATTTTTTTTTAAAAAAAATGATTTTTATTTAGATTTTTTGTTTCTTTTAATTTTTAGGTTTAAAATAAATTAGAATAATAATAATAAAAAAAAAAAAGTTATTAATAAAATAATTTAATTAATTCATTCTAAAAAAATAATTAAAAATAATATTATTATTTAAACATTATATAATTTAAATTTTCTCTTTTTTTTTTTTTTTTTCTCTATCTAAATATTAACCATTTACATAAATTTATATTTTAAACAAAAAAACAAGCAAAAAATAAAAAAATAAAAAAAAATAAAAGAAAATATATAAGTTTACAAAAAAAATACTAACAAAAAATGTACAATCCTATATGTGAATTTCATAAAAAATAAATAATTTATTTTTGCGCTTAATAATAATGTTAACAAAATAGAATATTATGTCAAAATTGTATAAAAAAACATAAAGAAAGTCATACATTCATCGAAATTTAATAAATATATGAAATAATAAATTCCGGAAAGTAAAAACTATGCGAAAAATTCTCAAAAGATATAGACTAATATTCAATAAGAATATTTAATTAAATATCATAAATAAACTAATTTGTTAAATAATAAATACTAAATTAATTAAATACATACAACTCATTATTTTAAAATACTGATTATGGGAGTTAAAATATGTTAGATTTATATAATTTTACATAATAAATACACTAGAATGAGCTTTTTTTAACAATTTAAGCCTTTATTTAAAAAAACTAAAACATTTGTAAAATTTTCGATGAGTTTAAAATACTTTATTTTAATATTTGTGAAAAAAACGAGTTCTAAAGAATCGGAAATGAACTGTAAAATTTAATTAAATCAAATTTAAGTAGTTTAGCTTATAATTCATATTAAAAAAATAAACATTTGTTAAAGTTAGAATAGCCTTCTTTAGAAAATTATGATGATTAGCATTTTTATTATATTCATGATTCTAATAACTACCTTTATTCATAAATGAACTACAACGGAGTTCCAAATGGAAGATCTATTGGAATATATTCAGGAGGTTTGTATTATGGATATATAAAAAATTAAAAAAGAGAAGGATAAGGGTGTTACTTTTTTAGTGATGGATCAGTTTATATAGGAGAATTTAAATAAAATTTAAGAAATGGAAAAGGAAAGTTTATTTATTCGAATGGATTTGTGTATGTAGGTTTTTGGAAAAATGGAAAAAAACATGGAATTGGAAATCTTTATAGTGAAGGAAAAATCGTTAGAAAAAATATGCATTATATTTATGATGAAGAATAATGATATTTTAAATTATATATGTAATTAGTCTAATATATTATTAATTTTATTAAAATATATATAAATATATATATATATATATTAAATATATAAATATATATATGTAAAATAATTATTATCATAATTTTTTTATTTATTATAATATTTGTTAATATTAATTGATATATATTAGAATATATATTTTACATTCTTATTTTTAATAAATTTTTTTATTTATATTAAATTTTTTATTTATATTTAATTTTTTTATTATAAATATTATACTAATTTAAATAATATATTTAATTGTACACTTATTATTTAAAAATTAAGAATATTAAAAAATTTTATATCATTATATTTATATATTAAAAAATTAGGTTTTATGATTACATAAAAATTAGATAATTATTAAAATATAAACAAAAATAAATATTAATTATTTACATTTAATATATATTCTTATAATAAAAATAATAAACCTTTACTCTATTTAATTTTTATTATACAAATAAAAATAATCATTATTTGAAATAATTTTTATTTTATTAAAATAATTCTTATTATTATTATTATTATTACTATATAATAACATTAAAATATTAAATTACAGGTTTAGGATACCACTTTTTTAAAATAAATGAAAAAATATATATAAATATATATATATATAATTATATACTCTTTTTGGTTATTTTCCATAATACCAGCAAACATGTGCCCCATGACTAGTTTCAACTTAAATAATATTTTTATTTTCTAATAATTATTCTTAAGGTACACACTTATAAGTAACAATAGGGTCATCTTTCGAATGCATTAATAAAGTTGGAACTTATATATTTTAAGTATGTGTATTTGTTATATCTGATAAATTAAAATACTCATCTACCGAATTAAATCCATATAGTTTAACTGTAAATTCACTATGAAATTCTTTTATAGTGCGCGTTTTTTGCAATTTATTTAAACATATTCCATGTGAATTTTTTAATTTTTCTAAAATTTCTTTATGAGGATTTATACAATTATTTTTCATTCTATTTTTTTATATGTATATATATATAAATTTTTATAAATATATATATATATATATAATTTTTTTACAATTAAACAAAAAATCCTTCATATATATAACCCATTGATTAAATGCATTATTTTATACAAAAAGGAGTAGATAAACCCACTATACCTTTCAAAAAATTACTTCCTTTAACATTTCCAGCCCATCTAATTAACATATTAGCCCCATAACTAGCCCCAACTGCAAAAATATCAGCTTTTGGGTATCTTTAATGCACTAAATTCATCGAATAATCTAAATCTTTCAAACAAATACCATTAAAAGGGTAAGGAGTGCTTAATTCAGTATTAACTCCTCTAGAATTAAATGCTACGCACCTAAATGCTTATTTTTATCCTTCTTAAACAATGGATTTTATATAATTCATATTGGAACCACCTGTTAAACCATGTATAATAAATAAAATTTTAGTATCAGGAGATGGCTCATATTCTTAATGGTTTTAATTATTAATCGGATTTGCCCAATCTAATGATATTTAACCCCCGTCAGATAATTTTATATATTCTCTTTTATAATTTATTATCAAATTTCGACTGTAACGAACATTAAAAAGACTTTATAGAAAAGAATGGGATAAAAATGGAGAAGGACGATATTTATTATCAGTTAATAAAGTCAGTTTTTAGGATATTTATGTGTTTTATAAAGTTTTTTAATATTTTAATTAGATTTAAGGCAAATCTGACAGTACTTTGAGTTTCTAAGTAGTAGTTTTTATGTTTTATTTAAAGTTATTTAGCATATAAATATAGTTTTTATAATTTTTTATATATTTATGGTGTTAATCAAATATTTCTATTTTTCTTATAAAAAAAAATATGTTTAATATGTAAATTTTAAAGTAAATATAAAAAATTAAATTATGAAAATAAATTATTATAATATTTATATGTATATCATAAATAAATATATATATATATATATATATATTTATATATATTTATATATATTTATATATGAGAATATTATTTTTATAATATAATATTATTCTTTAATAATAATTTTATACATGAAAATAACTTTATATTTTTTATTTATTAAAATATATATAATCAATAAATATATAAATTATAAAAAGATATTTTTAAAATATAAATTATAATTATATATATATATAAGATTTTTTATTTTTAATAATTTTAAAATTATTATAAATGAAAAAATAAAAAGCACATTTAAATATTAATTACAAATAAAAAATTAATACTAAATAAAAAAATAAAATAAAACTAAAAATCATAACTAAACAAAATATAATTAAATTTGAATTTTAATTTTTTATCAAAATTAATTTAATCATTTAGCTGCTTTCTTGGCTTATTTGGTTTAATTTGATTTGGCTTTAGTGTTAGTTCTTGCAAGCTATTATATATATTTATATAATATTTATTTATATATATTATAAATTGTTAGTATTATTTACTCTTTTTTTTAAGACCATAACTTTGAATCTATCGAAATCAGTCAAAGAAGCTCTTTTAGCTTTAACTGCTTATCTTTTAGCGAATGCAGTTTCTGCATACTTCTTGTTCAAATCAAATTTTTAGATTTTTTTTCTATTTTTATATAATTTTTGCTTTTTAATAATATATATAAATTTAAAATAATACCTTAAAACTGTTGTTCTTTAATGTAATTTAACATCTGTAATGTGGAATTTAGTTAAGTTAACTCTTTTAATGGGAATAACTTATCTTTTAACATTATCGCCATCAACTAAAACTCTATTTTAGTTAACAATATCTACAATTACGGCTAATTTGCCTTTATCAGAACCGAAATTGATATAGACTACTCTACCTACTTAAACGAATTTGTTGAATACCTGTTTTATATAATTTTTTTAAATTATATTTTTTTTAATTATATTATTACCATTTCTATTTATTTGATTTTTATTTTTTAGTAATTTTTTTTTATTTTTATACTTTATTAAATTTAATAATATTTTTTTTTTTTTTATAAAAAAATATTTAAATAAAAATAAATTTAAAAATATTTATAAATTTTTTCATGTAAATATTTTGAAAAATATATTTAAAATATAATTTTATGAAAATCTTACAAAAAAATAAATATTAATAAATAATTTTTTTTTTTTAAAAAAAAAAAAAGAATATAAATTAAAAATATCAATAAATTAAAATTTAAATGATGTTTAACAATATTATTCTTATTATTATATATAAATTCGATAAAATTATTTTAATTTATTTAAATGCTTTTTTATTATTTAATAAATTTAAAATAAAAAAACATTTAAAAAAATAACATTCAAATGAAACCTAGTATAAAAGATGAATTAAAAAAATACAGACAATTAAAAAAAAAATTCGTAAACATAAATTATTTAATTAATAAATATAATGGAGTATAATTTGAAATGAATAATAATAAAAAAATATATTTTAATAAAAGCAGTGACGAAATTTGATAAGAAAATATATAATAATAATAATAATAATAATAATAATAATAATAATAATAATAATAACAATAATAATAAAAATAAAATTACAATAATTTCAATAATCATAATAGAAGTACTTATAATAATATCCTTCTGTTTAATAATAAAATTAATATAATATTTAAGAAAAATTATAAAATAATAATATTTAAAATGATATTTTAAATTAAATTCTTAGTCCAAGTATATAATTATAATAAAAATAATATATATATATATATATATATATATTTATTTATTATATGTTTAAATTAATTTTTAATTATAATAATATTATTTAAAAGGCACCTTTTAAAAATTAGAAATTGTTAAATCTATATCAAATTTAGATAAATAATAAATTAATATTTCTTAATAGTAATAAATATAATGTAAAATATCCTACAAAGAAAAAATGTAAAATAAAAGATATTTATCCACTAATGAAAGATGTAATAAAAATAATTATAAATTATTAATTTAATTTTAAAGCTATTTCTAAAAACACTATTTTTACAACTGAAAAATCATTAGAATTAGCTGAACATAAAAGTTTTGTATCTAAAAAGAATAATTTAAATAACGAAAACACATATATATTAAGTGACTAAGAACGAATATCATTTGAATGTAATGAATAAAATTGTAAAACTCAAAATAATAAACAAAATAATGTAGATAATATACAAATAATCTAGAGCGAGATAGTTCCTTATTATTAAAATTTAAAAGCATAAAAAGAAAGTAAAAAAAAAAAAGGTAAGAATTAAATAAAAATTCAACACATTAAAATAACAATAATAATAATAATAATAATAATAATAATAATAATAATAATAATAATAATAATAATGATTAAATTAATGTTTAGAATGAATAATTAAAAAAAGAAAATCATGATCTTATAAACTTATTAATAATTACATAAAAAAATTATTAAAATGATTTATAATAATATTAGAATTTAAAAGATTAAAATATAGATTTATCTATTTCTTTAAAATAAAAAGATAAATAAATTTAAGAATTAAATAAATAAATAAAAAATATTTAGAATTCTTCAATTTTATCTTTTCCAAAATAAGATTAAAAAAATAAAAACTAAAATCCTTTGTATTAAAATTTTTTACATTATTAAGAAGAAAATAATTAAGTTTTAAAAACTTTTAGAAAATCTTTATAAATTACAAATTAATCTTTACCTAATAAAAATTCATAGAGAACAATTATTTAAATAAAAAGAGATTATTAAAATTATTTAAACAATGATTTTTCATGTAATATAGATTCTTTTGATCCAATAACTGAAAAAAACAATAAGAGTTTTTTTTGAAAAAAAATATAAAATATTAATTACTTCTTAAATATATTTTATTTATAATTTCGTATAATTTGTATATTTTTATAAAAAAATAGAAAAAAACAATTATAAAAATATAATTATTAGTTATGGTATATGAATATAATTTAGATAAAAATTAAAATTAAATAAATAAAAATTAAAATATATAAGAATAAATATTAATAAAAATATAAAAAGAAAATATAAAAATCAACAAATTTAAATCAAAAAAAGAATTTATTTTTATTTTAGCTGATTTCATTGACATATAAGTTATTTAAATTAAATTATAACTATTAATCATCTTAATTATTAGATTATTTGAAGAATTCTATTTAATATATATATATATATATATATATATTTATATAGTAATTAATTTATATTTTATATAAATATATTATATAAATACATTATACATATTCAATAACAATCTAAAGTTCTTATATTATGTTAAACTATTTTTCATTATGAATATTCATATTTTGTAATAATTTAATTTCTAATTTTTTTAGCATTTCATTTATTTAAATAATTTTGGTTTTGTAATTAATGTTAGTTTTGTGTAATTCATCTTATAATAAAAGTAATTACTATTCTTATTAACTTTCTTTTTAATATTCGTTTTATATCTTTTATTCTAATTATTGTCTTAATCTTTATACTATTTTTTCATATTATTTACTAATCTTTAATATATATATATATATATATATATATATACATATATATATATATATATAAAATATTATATAAAATACTTCTCCATTAATTGGATAAACATCAGATTCTAAAGTTGTTAGTGAACATTTATTTATATTTATTTCAGATGATATATTTCCTTTTATTTTTGCAAATTATTTACTACTAGAAATAGAAGTAGACCTATTAATACTAATTAATGAATTATGATTTTTTTTATTATTTAAATGTTTATTTAATAAAATTTAAAGTTCATTCTAACAACTTTTATATTATCTTTTAATATTTTCTCTTTTACTTTCTTTCTCATCTTTAATTTTTTAATTTAATGGGTACTAAGTCTTTTTTATGTAATTATTAAATTATTAATTTAATTTTAACTAATATTTATTCATATATTTGATAATCTTTTAATTATTCTAGAATTTATTTTTTATTTATCTTTCTAATTATTATAAATTTTCTATTTATTTTTAAATTCTTAATTAATGTCCATTTAACATAAATAATGACTCCCTAATTTTCTTATCTTTTTCCTTAATAAATTATCTAAAAAAGCATTAAATTAATTTTATCTTTTTTATAGTTTTTTTATATTTCTATTATTCAAAAAACATTCGAAAATTCCTTTATATTAAAATAGCACTTTTAATTTTTTAATAATCATTTAAATCTTAAAAAAAATTATTTTATAATTTATTTTTTTATTCATCTTCTTATTTTTAATTCTACTGATAATCATTTGATTAACTTAAAAAATCTTTTATTTTTATATTCTATTAAATATTTTAATTATTTTTTAAATCATTAAATGTTAATAGTTAATTAAAACTTTATTTTCTTATCATTTTTTTTATATTTAAGTTTAATATTATATCTTTTATTCTTTTTTATTTTGATTATTCTTATTTATTAAAATTTAAATAAAAATATAATGTTAAATTTTTTTTTAAAAAAAATTAAAAAACTTTATTTATCTATTTTGTTGAAATAGGGGGTCTAACATGTATTGTGTTTGTTTTATTTAATAAAGACTTTTAATAAAATGGATAATTTAATAGATTTTAAGTAATATTATTATTCATTTCAAATATGTTTGTTAATTTTTTAATTTAAAATTATATTAATATATTTAAATTTTAAAATTAACATAATATTTAAAAAATATATAAAAAAATAAAATATTTTATTGATTAATTTTTAGTTTAATAAAAAATTATTTTTTGTATTTATTAAAATAAAATAATATTCAAATAATTAAACAATATTATTAATATATGATAAAAAAATCATTAATCAATAAATAAATAAATATACTTTTATTTAAAAATAATTTATATATAAACTAAAAATTGTAATAAATATTTATTTATATTTATATTATATTTTTATTATTAATTGAGAAAAATCTTAATCTTAATATTTTATCACATAAAAAATTAAAATAAACATAAAAAAAAAATATACATAAATATAAAATATACATGTAAATATATATTTTTTAAAAAGTAATTTTGATTTTAAAAATAACACCAAAAAAATAAACAATTTATAAAATAAAAAGATCATATATATATATATATATATATAAATGGGTAACTTATGTACTAACCATTTTAATGAAAATTCTTAATAAAATTCTTAAATAATTCAAATATTAATTGTAGGCGATTAAAAAATTGGAAAAGACAGCCTAATAACTATTTTATTAAAATAAGGAAAAATCATAAATTAAAAAATGACTATATATAACAAAAAATAATATTATTTTACCCGCACAAATAAAAGCGACCCCTAATTTTTGCGTTTAGAAATGAGTAATAAATATAAAGATTTTAAAATAATATTATTTTGTCTAGACATTACATAAAATACTTATAGTGATTAAATAATTCCATATATGCAAATTTCCCTTAATTTTTTTAAATCATAGTAATAAAACCTTTTATATGAAAATATTAAATATATTATAGTTGGGACTAAAACAGATTTATTATTAGAAAAATAACTCGAAAAAATTAATGATTTTTAATTATTTTCAGAATAATTTAATATACCATTTATTGCCGTTTCGACCTTAAAAAACCAAAAAATTGACTATTTATTCCAAAAAATATCCCAATATAAATTTGTTTCCTAAACATTCGAAAACCAATTAAATTTCTTTTAAAAACTTTAATCCTATGATGTAAAATTCTTAGAAGAAAACTTTATATAGTAACAAAATCGTTAAAAAAAGCACCTCCTTTACCAACAAAAAGCCTAAAAATAAACCATTGACGAAAACATAGAAGAAGAAAGCAAAATGAACATCTAAACCCAACCCCAATCACAGGAACTCGAATAAAACTTTATTCGTATAATTCCACATGAAAAGATGAAGAATGCCACCCGTAAAGAAATAGGATAGGGTACATTCGGCTCAGTTTATAAAATAGCATTCGAAAATTAAAACTACGCGTTAAAAATATGCAAACTGCAGGCAAATGATGCCTATGTAATCCAAAAATTTAATCAAGTTTTTTCCGAAGCGGAGACTATGTAAAAATTTATGCTAATTTAAAATTCTCGAATAATGCCTTTAAAAGGAATTTCCTTTGAAGTCGACATTTCTAGAAAATCAGTCAATATAGGCTACTGGATTCCTTTATGTAAATTTTCGCTTAAAAAAATCATTTAAAAATCATTCTAAAAAATATCCATTTCTCAAAAAATAAACTGGGCAATATAAATAGCGGAAAGCCTAGAAATTCTCTAATCTTAAAAAACATAACATACAGACTTAAAACCTGAAAATATTTTGATTGATAATGATAATAATATACTAATTTCGGACCTATCAATGTCCAATATATACGAAAATAATAATGTTATTGGAAATACTGCTAAATATGCACATCCAGCAGCTGTTATATATAAATCATAATCACCAAAGTATGATATTTATAGTTTTGGATGTATTCTATTAGAACTTTTTACTGGAAAGGAGCCTTGGGATAATATAGATAAGATTTAAATAAAATCAATTTGTTATAAAGTTTTAGACGATCCAGTTGGATTTAATGTATTAAGTTGGTTTTAAGAAAATTATCCTGATTTAATTTAGGTTTTAAAGGAAAAATTATAGTTAGTTTATTAGATTTTAGAAGTTTGTTGTGTATAGATTTTATTAGAAGAGGAAAAATAGGAAATTAGTATTTAAAATATTAAATAGAGTTTAATTGAAATTTAGTAGATTTATATAATTAATTAAAAAAATTGAAATATATTTGTATTTTTATATATATATTATAAGTATATTTAATTTAAAAATTGCTTTAATTATTATTAAATTTTTTACTTGTTTTTATATTAACTTTTTTATTGTATTTTTTATTTTAAATACTAATTTTTATTTATTTAATTTATATGAAAAGCTAAACAAAAATAAGTGTTTTTTAATAAGCTGCATAAAATACATTTGTAAATAATAAAAAGAATAAGTTTTTTTAATAAAATTATATTAAAAGGAAAAATAAACATTATCGAATAAATAAATATCAACTTAAAATAGTTAAATTTATAGAAAATAATAATTATATTTTAAAAATATTATATAAAAAAGTATGGAATCTTAAAGATAATAAAATTGATAATTAATAAGATAATGATAATAAAAATCTAAGTATAAAAATATTTATATATATATATATATATATATATATATATATATATATATTAATTATTATACATTTTTATATTATTATTTATAAAAAGATTATGAATAATTATTCCAAAGTTAAATTTAATTTTTTTCTGAATGGAATTAATAAAATTAAGTAAGAAATTTAATATTTAATATTATGTTACTAATTTTATATTAATTTTAATATAGTAAATGTTATAAAATTTATAAATTTAACAATAAATTTAGGATGAAAAGACTTTTTAAATAAATAATGAATATAAAAAATATATACAATAAGAAAAATTTTTACAATATTAATATTTAAATAAAGTTTAAAAATAATAAGAATTGATAAAGCAAAAAATTAATAAAATTGAAAATTAAAAAAAATGTATAATTAATGATATAGAGAATATTTAAAATTTTAATAATTTATAAGAATAAAATATAAATAATGATAATTTTATCAAACTTTTATAAAATGAACTAAATAATTGCGAAAACAAAAAAAAATATTTATAAACACAATTAAATAATTTCAAATAAATTTAATAGATGTTAAATTAAAAAGATATATACATTAAATTCAATTAAGAAGAAATTTAAAATTATATTAAAGAAGATATATGATAATAAAAAACACATGATAATAAATAAATAAAAATAAAATAATTTTAAAATATATAATAATAATAATAATAATAATAATAATAATAATAATAATAATAATAATAATAATAATTATAATCGGATAAATTTTTATTACCTCCTTTTTAGTACCATTAAAATAATTTTCTTCAAAAGCCTAGTATGTTTGATTTATATTAAATGAGTAAATAATATAAATAAATTGCAGGATATCCACCTTATATTTTTAAAAATGATTAAACTTAAAATAATGTCTATTCAAATAGTATTTTATTTATTTATTAATATTAATATTAATATTTATTTATATTTATTTATTAGTTGACTAAATGGTTGATATTTTAGCTAAAGAAGTTAATTAATATTTATTACAGTTTTATATAATTATATTTCTTTTTTATTAGAGATTAGCTAATAAATAATATAGGCTTATTTATAACGAATAAAAAGGGACAGATATCAATAAATTTTTATAAGAAAAAAGAAAAGTATTAGAATTATAAAATTAAAAAGATTAAATTTAAAAATTAAAATATGAATAATTATAATAAAAGTATACACAAACATTAAAATAAGAAAACTATGATTTAAAAAATATAAAAAACTTAATTTAATAAAAAAGATAAACATAAATATTATAATAATATTAATAATTAAATTAATAATCATAAATATAATAATAAAAAAGTGCTATAAACATTGAACTTTAAAACAAAAAGTATTGCTATTTTTTTACTTTTATTTAAAAAAAGAGAATAATAATTTAAATTTTTATATTAAAAAAAAAATGAAAAAAAATAAAATTTACTTAATTTTTATGAAATAAATAACCTTTTTATATCTCCTATTTAAAAAAAGTTTAAATCATTATTTAATTTAAAAAAGAGAAAAATACATAAAAGAAATAACTGATTAAATTCCAAAAGCTATGGAAGTAACATATTTTTTTATTATTATCTTTTTCTTAAATATAAAACATTTAGGATTGTACAAATTTTATTAAAATTTCTTGTTAAAATGCTTTTTAAATGTTTTTAAAAGATAAAAATTTGAATTTGGATGTATTTTCATAAAAAAAGCTATCTTTGTAAGAATAAAAAAAAGATTTTAATTTTTAAAAGTACTTATGTATTATTATTTTTTTTAAAAAAAATTAATAATAAAAAGAAAATCACTTAAAGTTTTTTTGAAGGTCTAAAAAATAATACAGAAAAATAAAACATTCCTTAAAACCTTATATTATTTTTGATAAAATACATCAAAAATCAAGGCTTTCCTCCATAAAACTACTTAATGAAATTTGAAATTGATAGACTTTAATTTAATTCATACGGTTCAATAATGTAAAAAATAAGTATAAATAAATATCAATTAAAAAAAAAATAAGAAATTAAACAGATAAAACTTAAGAATTATAAATACTTTTATTTATAATAGTCAGAATTTTAATTTTAAAAATAATGAAAGAACCATAAACAATGATAGACGGAATATAATAGTCAGATAAAATTAAAGAGTTATAAAAATACAAACATATATATTTATAAATTATATTAAAAAAATTAAATTAAAAAAAGTAATGCTTATTATATATCAATTATATTACATTAAGCAATATTTGAATATTTAAAAAATATAACACCTTGTTTTGAAAAAAATTAAATACATATTCAAAAAAAATTCTAAAATATTATAAGATAAGCGCCTATGAAAGCTAGAAACGATATAGAAGTAGATTAATAAGAATAAAATGATTATTTTAAATACGGAGAACCTTTTATACTAGGATTTCCAAAAAAACATAAGTAGAAAAAATATATTAAAACGAGCCTTAATGGATAGAAAATATTAAAAATATAATAAATTAAATTGGAATTTAATTCTTAAACATAATTAAAGAATAAATATAATAAATACCAAAATCATTATAAATTATAGATGTAATGAATAATTATTTAAATAGTAAAAATATTTGATATCAAAATAAAATAAAAAAAAATTATATTTTAAATATATATAAAAATATATATATATATATATATATATATATATATATATATATATATATATATATATATATAT